GTGATACGTTCACTTGATTGATAAGTGAAGCATTTAAGCATGGATGATCACTTCTGGTTTATTTAGAAGAACGAAAGAAATCATTCGAATCACGCTATGGATGGTCCTGAGAAGGGCCCTGGTTTGTTCACTTCCCATCTTAAAGCAGAAATTCACTTCTGGTCCAGTTTGTCTTCACTCGTAATACAAAAGTGGAGTGGGCACAGCTGTTGGAATCTAAGATAAAAATCACTTATTTTAACAAAAATCCCTTTTATTATCACTGACATCACCTTCATGCCAAGGATTTCCGCCACATGCAGGGCACTACAGACGAAAGCTGCTTGGGTGTGGATCCCGTGTGCAGAATATATGGAATGTTGCATGATAACGGAGTGCGGATGCATCACTTTTAAAGCGTACCTCACAAACCTCCCTGCAGATATAGTCCTTCTCTTCGTTCATATCTGCACGGCCCATCTCCTCAGGGTTCCGAGTTACCAACTCCATAACCTCGTGATCGTACTCACGGCCACAGGCGTCACCTCAGTTTCTTCTTCGGAACCACCTGAAACACTGTGTCCCGCTAAGTGTTCTGGACTTGCATCCACCGGAATGGGTTCCCTGCCATCTAAACTGTTCCGTGCGAAACGGAGGACAATGCGGAATTGCTGTTCATCGTTGAAGCATGGTAAGGCTGCCATCCAGAGACGGCTTCTTGATGGGGGGGGATATGGTTGACTGTGGAATGTAGTCTTCACTGGTACGTTATGCTGCTCCCTCCAACTTGCGCACCCAAAAACTATTGTTATGAAGCAGAGTATGGCAGGGATGATTGCGAGTTAACAGAAACCAAGTTACTGTCCAGAAACCCTCTAAGAAATTCTCAAGCACGGACGCCCGACAAGAACATTTCAGGGAAATTCTACGAAGTATATAATGAAAACAAACAGAACTGACCTTCTTGTCACCACACCACCTATTGACCGGTGTCCACTAGACTTAAAGCAAATAAGCTTGACTTAGGCCCTTCGGTTACCGTGCAAATGTGAATCTCGCATAGCGTATTGCGTGTGCGTCTGATTCTCATACTACTTCACGGTGACCTTCAAAGACTGTAAGGACGGAAACGCGGCGAGACAAACACGCTCAAATAGTTTAATTGGTTTTCGGTTACAACAGTTCGGACGGTGTCATCGCCAATGATGAAAATAAAGCGGCCCTTTCACAGTTTGCTCCCTTTTATAGCACTTTTCGACTTCGTGCAACCAATCACATGCGATATTTCCTCGTCCAACTTAATTGGACAAGTGACACAGGGAGCAAGGGGGGAGGGGTAGAAAGTAACAGTTAAAAAATTATTACTGTGGACCAAATGCATTTCCACATTACCTCCTGATTCTTCTCTAGTAAATGGACCCACACCATCTACACTTACCTTCCGGGTAACTCCCACATCAGATTCAGATTTCAGGTTTGTTGTTTCAGGACAGGAGGGTGGGAACCTATATTATTCCTTTCCCAGAAGATTTCTCTACTTGTCCACTCCCTTCTTGAACTAGTCAGTTGATGATGCGGACATCACTTCTTCTGGTAGTCGGTTCGAGGCGTTGATTACTCAACGAAAGAACCAGTGCTCTGTAGAGACTACGTTGGTTCTTTGCTTTTGTAGTCTCTTACAATGTCCTCTGAAGTGCCCCAGCCTAGTGGGAAGGAAAAGAGAAGGTAGGTCAGGTCCGAAGCCATTTCTTAGAATCCTGTATGGGATGATTACCCCTCCCTTCTGTCTGCGGCAGGGCAAAGTGAAGAGGTTCAGCTCCTTAAGTCGGTCTTCATAGGTGAGGCCAGCCATCTCAAGGGGAGACGGCAGGGAGCCCAGGACCGCGCCACACGGCACCACACTCTACACCGATTTCCAAGTGGAGGGTTGAGAATCGCTCCTTACACTTTGCCTCCTGCAGACAAGAAAGTCTCCTTTTTCTTTTTTTGCCTTTCATTTCTTTATTTACTACCTCACTATTAGTATTAAGGTACCTACACAGGCAGGAGCCACGGTGGTATCCTAATCTTCCGGCAACCTGTAACTCCTCAATCACCAAAAATTGCAGCTCACCAACCCACAAATCATCTTGCTCACCGAAGCTAAAAGCCAGAAAACAGAGGGGGTGTTCGCGCGCTTTTTAAGTGGTGACGTGTTTTCGCTCTTCTCTCAGCTTTTGGATTTTTCCACAATGAAAAACTCCCACTTGCAATACTCAATCTAAAAAGATTGAACGTTTGCAGCACTTCTGCTCCTGCACCCACCTCACCCTTGCGTAATCGTCAACTCACTTCTCAACAGTTGAAAATTGGCATTATTATTCCTTTGAACCAACCGGTCTACCTCCTGTCAGTGGTTCTTGGGCGTTTCAACTGCCAAACTGCCTTAGCTCTCGGTTCTCCTCGGAGGTCATTCCCCAGGAAATATCTTTCCTGGTTATACATACGCATCTGGAGCTTACGGTTAAACTCGTTGGTCAAGAGCAGAGGATCAAGTGACAAGTGTCTGAAGGTGAGCCAACATAAATTATCTTCCCTTATCTATTCCATTCAGTCTTCAACCCTCTTATTGTTGTTAACTACTTGTTTTCCCAAGAAGTTTATATCATAGCGACATGTCTGCCCAAAACGCTTTGACACGGATAACGCGGTCGTGCACAAAAACGGCCAGTAACACCCTAAACAACACACTAGTCTGTACTAGAAGACAAACAGAGGTAGGGCAGAACACCGAACTTCTAAAGAAGTGGCCAACCCATGTTTCTAGAATTCCAGTCGCCATCAGACAGGTGACACAGAGTAGCACTGCCCGTCACAAACTAGTCCTATCTTGAGCAAGGATCATACCATGCCTGAAAATAGAAGACGACGTAAAAGGCTTCAGAACAAGGCAGCCACAAGCAGTTCGCCACAATCCGTAGCACCTTATTCATGGAAGGAAGGCTGTATTACGACACCCGATGGCTGCAGTGTTTGCACCAAAGTTGTTTCGGTAGTCGATGAGGCATTTGCATGCAACCTATGTCAACGATGGGCGCATTGCCACTGCGATACCAAAGTCCCCCGACAATACTATAAGCTGATGAAGAGACAACCATGCAAGTGGTTCTGGTACATCTGTCCAGAGTGCAGGAAAATGCCCGCACTCCGCACAGAAAGCCTGAAGGAGATGCTCTCCGCCACGCAAAAGCTACCAGCATCCTCGAATAAAGTAGGGTTAACACCAAAGGATAACACAGAGAGACCTGGAAACAGACCTAGAGCTCCAGCTGTGGGCACGCCACCTCGCGTGGGGACCATATTAGGTCAAGTCTCCATACCCTACCCGGCCCCAGGGGACGTCAAGCGCATGGCCAAAGACATCGACCGCCGAAGCCTCTACGAAACCCATTCCGAACACCCCACACACCGTGACTGAGAAACAACCAGTGGAATTACTCAAACCCATTGGGAAGTCGGGCGTGCCACCCACAACGAACCCAGGTCACAGGAGGACCAACTCGATCATTTTGTTCAACGTCGATGTATCGACAGACTCATTGTTGGTCGAGAGGGAACAATTTGACAGCCGAATGTGGACCGACTACTGTCAGATGCTGGGACTCCCTCCCCTCCCTGCAACTGTGTCGCCTTTCTCGAGGAAGACGCACCCCGAGATAAGCCACCCCCTTCAGCCAAAGAGGCTGAAGACACACTCCTCCTCTCGCGACAACCGGACGTTGTTAATGCCTGTAAAATTCGGGCCAGGCCTGACAAGCCATGGTCAATAAGAGAGGAGGAGAGAAAGTCAGCGGTTGGAAATCCCAACAGAAACAACACTATAGTTGTACATGGGATTCCAGAATTGCCAAGTGACAGCTCGGTCAAAGATCGGTACTTTCACGACGTCCAACAATGGCAATGGCTCTCAACCAAAGTTGGTCTCAACAGTATACCGGCCAACAGCGTCAGTAGACTGCCAAGGCCAGCGCACCTGAAGACCATACCCAATCCCAGACTACTTGCCGTCCAGTTCGACTCATATGCCTCCCTCACAGACGTTCTGCACGCATGGTATAATGCGAAGGATCGCATGGGTGGCTCAATACGTATATGTGAAAGTAAGCCTAGACCCACAAGGCAAGAGGAGAGACGGCAACCACCAAGACCTCTGGAGTCAGTGGTCGTCACACAGGCGCTGACCAGTGAGTTAGATACATCAAGTAAAGAAGCCACCACTGCTACAGCCCCCACCCAAGTTAAGAACAAAACACAAAAAAACGGAACAATGCCAGTCCTATGAGGACTGGCGAGGCTAAATCAACCACGTAAGCGCTCATCCCGAAAATACACATCCAGACCTCCCCTCTCATCAGGCACACTCTAATATGTATGTACAGCAACGTTAGGGGGCTAATAGGGAAGGTAGAAGAAATGAGGACGCTGCGTGAACATCAGCACTACGACATCATATTCATCACCGAATCCTGGCTCTCATCGGACATCTCCGACGAAGAGATGCGTGTTGCTGGCATGGAACTCTTCCGCAGGGACAGGGAACATAGAGCAGGAGGGGGAGTGGCTATCTACGTAAACTCCTGTTTAAAGGCAAGGATGGTTAGCGATACGGCCTTAACCCAGCTCCCAGAGTCTCTATGGTGCTACTTCACTCTCTTCTTTATTCTCTCTTCATTCCTTTACCACTACCTTACTATTCTCTTTCAGGTACCTACACAGACAGGAGTCACGGCAGTTCTCTAAACTTCCCAGCAACCCGTAGCTCCCTAATCACTCTACAAATTACAACCTACTAACCCACAAAACATCCACCTCACCGAAGCTAAAAGCAAGAAAGCAGAGGGGATTTCCTCGTCCACTGCAGGAGTAAACCGAACAACTGGAACCAAGCCCTAAGAACTAGACGCGAGAGATCAAAAACTACCAGTTTTCTACGCTCGCACTATCAATATTGGATATTGGACATAGGTTTGTTTTTCAACACTGATCTATGAGGTGAAAGTAAACTGAATTTTGTTGTTGTTACAGCGCATGATACGACATGAATAGATCGGACAAGTATGAAAATGTACGAAGCGTGTACAGATTATTGAAAGAAAAAGGAGATATCGAAAAGTTGAAGGTAAGACTAAAAAACGAGTCGAATGCTTCAATGAATTAGTCCCATGTTAGACAGAGATTAATCTTAGGATTCGCATCATTGGAGAGTACTGTAACTAAGTACGATGATAGGAATACAGATCAAACTATCAAATTGGCAAACTGCATAATTGTAGACCATATGAAAGTACAAGAATGTGACTATTCCCTGAGCGTTTTTCTTCCGGAAGTTGGACTCACAGATTATGAGGTATACCTCAAATGATTATGATTATAATCATATGTGACTACATTTTATGGAATCTCAAACTTGATACTTAAAAATTCATTTAGACTGAAGAATATGTGAGGAATTTCCTGTCTTCAAATGTGCGCTCTGGTTGCGCTGTCTGGGATAAGATGGTATTGTAGAAAAATGACTATGTTTTTCATATTTTAGATATCTTTTCGTCAAGAGTCAAATTCTTTTCTAGTTTCAATTCTGAAGGCCTTATCAGATGTTTCAGGTATATTGAGTGAGAAAAAGTCAACACAGACGTTTGATGTTGACTGTTGTGAGTTGGGTGAGTATTTCCATAGTTTTTCTAAATACCTAGTTGGACTTCAGTATTTAGCCTTATGTATCTAGTGACTCCTGATATTCTCAAATGAAGTAATCAGTTTCATTTAGCAATTCAAACAAACGGATATGAGGATATAGTCTTCGCAAAATATGTGGTGTGCTATTGCAGTACACTTCGAACAACCTGCTCACACACTTACTTGTCATGCATATTGACATAAAAGATAACAAAGGATAAATTAGTTTGAAAGCAAATAATATAGAAATCAGATCTGTCACCAGACTGTTTGTAATGTAGTGCACTAATACACCACATGTTTGAAATAAGCTACACTTTACTGTTTTGTTGAAATTTTGAGCTGTTTTAGTAATTCAGGGGCTTCTTAGTAATTTACTAGATAAACCGAAAATCTTTAGGAAACTGTGGTTTGCTTTTCGATGGCAGCAAGCTGAACTTTACATATATTTGCTATGTAGCTTCTAAAGCTTTTTAAAGAAATTATTAAGTGGAAATACTGTGAAGTTGCAGATCTAGATAATATGAGTTGTTTGTTTTATTGATTTCATTTTAGTCAACCAGCCGATTCTGACATCAATTCTGCTTATTTTCATCCAACATTTGATGTTCTTCCATATAGTTTGATGCAGTGTGTTTTGTTACGGGCCTACTAGACATCGAGCGAACCTGGCTTTTAAACTGAATTGATTTAGTTGAGAAATGTATGATCAGTCCTAATGGAAGCCGCTCTTAATATCAGAACGTAAAATGTTGCAGGACAATCGTTGGTCTGGCCAAGATATGCTGTGACCCAATGTACAACCATTGGTATCTCATAATTAGGTCGTTGGAAGTCTAATTTAAGGTTCTGCCCAACATCTGAAAGAGGAGAGTACATGGAAAGTTAAAATGAATAGCGTCAGTGTATTTTTGCAAAAAATGACTTGAAAGAAAATAAATATGGTCAGATTAACAACTATAAACGCGAAGAAATGATTACTAGGAATGCAATTTTATCCTAGGAGTGGAGTTATGCTGTGATGAACATGGATACTATTCATGGGGATATCTTCAGACAAAGCCAATATTATGCCAGTTGATTTCGATTTCTAACTTGGTAAGGTAGACTAGAAATAATCATGATTAAAAACTAACCCTCGTGTGTCATAAAAGTTGAGGTGTTCGAGACCAATATTCAGTATAAAAAGAATTGTAAATATTCGAAATGTACGAAGAAATTCACGCTACATTATCTTATAAATTCTTAAAGCTTATTCGTTTTGTTCTCAACCGTCTTACGCTCATCTTATTGACCTTATTTTCTCCTACTGTAAATGATTCCACTTTTGTTGTGGCTAACTGTTACAATATTGGTCACAGCATGCTTCTTCGGTATTTTGTTTTTGTCTATCCTTCTGTGTAAATTGGTTGCTTACGTTATTTTTCTTTACGGTAGAAATGGTTGAAATTATTTTTCAAAGCTAAATTTAAATGAAATCTATAATTTTTGCTATGTAAGAGTAAATTAAATTGAGTTCACACCAGTAGTATCCAGACATAATGATCTGAAGAATATGCCTTTAACTCTTTTCGACAAAGGTTCTTGACCACCACCAAACTCACACTGCTCTACATGCCCTTCTGCAACAATGTACCTAACTATAGGCTAGACGAAAACATCAACAAATGGTCCTTACATTCTGGTATCTGAAGCGGGACCCGGCTCGTTCAGAGTCAGACTGACTTGCACTCAACAGCAGCCATCCACTCAAATGTAACTCACACGAGCTTCACAAACCATACCTAGCTTCTAACTCATTCAGGTACAACTAAGCACTGAAGACAGTGCCTCCAAAAAGGGGGAGTAGTGTACTGCATTAGAGATCTTACTCACTCATCTTCCAGTTTCGATCTCTGAACTGCCTCACTTCCTCGTTGTCAAGCTCTACCGTTTAGCAGTTATCCTTTACTACTAAATATCAGTACATTTTGTGTACTTGCTGAGTCATTGGCTCACCTTTTCTCTTCCTCTTTTCCCTACCAGATTCTCGCACAAATCATGTCTTACAGTTGTTCAAAGTAGGTAGAAATACAGCTATATCCGCTTTTAACTTATCCACATTGATTTCTTATCAATGCCACATGTATTTATGTTGGCACCTACTACTGTGCTATATTTACTGAGACTTGCCCCTTAAATCCCAGTTGATAGTTTGTTTGGGTGGTAAAAGTGACTGAAGTGGTTTTAATCCGAAGAAATCCCACCACTAAGTTTAGGTTATTTGACTTAAATAAGTCGTAAATAACCTTACTAGTCAACAGATATGTCCATCACCAGTAGCTGTAAGTGCTGTAATGTCTCCAATATCAATAAAACATATGAATCGCTTACATTTACTTGGCAACATTGAATTTAACATCCTTGGATCATCAGGAAACTAAAACAGCTGACTATGAAGACAAAATAAGAGTGTGGTTCACCCTGTGACTGTTCTGACCGATTCTTTAAACCCTAATTCCACAAAAATTTGCGGTTATGGTTATTTTGACGATAAGCTGTCACACGATCCGAAACTATCGGTTTCACTGAGATAAAACTTGCAATAAATAAATCATATTCAAGGCTACATATATTTATCAATATTTCCTTTATTTTATTTCACTACAAATACTGTATCAAGTGGAATGTAAAAATTTATTCCAAGATTTCTGTAGTCTGAGCTTGTGACACTGAAAAAACAAAAGTGACATCTAGTATATCCGTAGAAAAGCACCACAAACTCGTCTTTACGGCATCTAAGACTACTGGTATGATAAACTGTCTGGAATCGATTCAGTATTAGTCTAAAGAAAATTGTTTACTGAATTATTTAAAGCCACAATATTACATACCAGTATGAAAAACCCTATTTTTGAAGTTTATCAGATGATTTCGTGCTTACGATCAAACTACAATTATGATTAGATCGTGATTAAGGAAGTCAGTTGGTTGTAGGCAGTCGGCAGGAAGCCGTAATTAACCCATGTTTCTTGCTTATTGGCAATCAGCAGTAACGCGTATCTGCAACGTCGACTGAACTGATGTCCTCTATGTGATTCGAACCGGCTTAACTCAATGTTGCAGTCAGCAATGTTAACACCGAGTTGTTCAGGCCATGATTAATCTCTTGTAAGACTACATTAGATAGGTTGATTGATCATTGTAGAGCAACCAGTTTCATGTTTTCCAGTCATGAGTGCTGACCAAATTTTGTTGATCATTTTGCAGTATGATCTATCGTAAAGCAAGCTGTCTTTTAGTTAAGAAGATAACTGAATCAAATTCCTCATCAGTCGTCCAAAAATTCAGTGGGTTTTAATAGATCTATAAGAAGGCGTGAATTTAAACAGGTACATGAAAGAACACAGTTACTATTCGTTTTTTGAAATGGTTCAACACCGCTAGGTTCCAGTGAATAAAGAACACTTGACTTAAAGTCAGTTTTATCTCATTAATGTAGAAAACTGATTTCCTGACGTTTTGCAACCAGGTGTAAGGCCACTTATTCAGGGGATAAATTATGTACTTTTACGAGTTTTCTTCTGTTAAGAAGCAGCTTACACGAGGTTATGGGACGCCTGAAATTTATTTTTCCACCTCACTGGGATTTGGAAAAATATATCCTTTTTATAAACTATTTACACAGTTCTCACGTTTCTGAATTCTATCAGGTCAAACTTCAGTCCTGAAGGCTACAGAGTTAATCGACACCTTGGATGAGACAGTTTCATTTAAAGATTGTTACTTATTGGTATGATTGAAGATAGTAAACTAAGTTTGACTGATCACCATAAACATGTTTGTATACAAAACAAGATGACTTAGTGATCTTTAAACTTGGTATTCATTATGGATTGATATTGGTTAGAGAAACATTGGAAATCTGGGAGGACTGGACAGCTGTTTTGTCCTTGTATGGGACTTCTAAGCAGCTCATGCCCATGACCCCACCACGGATCGAACCCAAGAACTTCAGCTTCGCCGGCCAGCACGTTACCGTTGAGCCACTGAGTCGGAATCTAGTCGTTCTTATTTTCTACTGTCTAGTACTTCCATGTATCCAATGTTTCTCCAACTAATGTCAGTTCATGATGAGTACCAACCACAAATGTGTTTGTTAAAGTAATTTTTCTTTCTAATTTACTTTTTAAAGATCAAAAACTGAACGATATTAATAAAGAATATGAAGCTATAAGATCTTCAGAAATTCTACATACAAAGAAAATATTTGAAGAACGCTTACAGCATTACAAATATGAAATAAGTGAACAATACCAGTTGAAATTAACCCAACAGGTAATACTAAAAGTTTACCATTTTCTTAGAAAAAAAGTAACGATTTTCAAACTATGCATAAGTCTTCATTATCTGTTTGTTGACATTGCCAACTTTCCTTTGTTAGGCTATCGTTTCTACTACTCCATAAGTCATATCTGATCAAATTACAATCATCGAGGACATACTAATTATCACGGGTATTATTTATTAGTAACTTGAATATACCATTCTTATGCTGAATTGAAAGAGATGTGGAAGGAAACCTGCATAACCGTGTTAGAAAGAAAAAAGAAAGAAGATAAGGAATGGATCTCGACGGACACATGGAAGGTGAAAGAGCACGGAGAGGAGGATGGTAAAGCAGAAGATAAACCAGTGCAAGGATGAACGACGAGAAGAGGAACTAAGTACAATGTATAAAACACTGGACAAAGAAGTGAAGAAGAGTGCGCGTAAAGACAAAAAGCACTTCTACGACACACTTGCAAGTGAAGCAGAACAGGCTGTAGGTAGGAGAGACAGAGACCTGACAAGATTGTATCAAATAACCAGGTTACTATCTGGGATGGAAGAGATCAACACAGATGAGATGAATAAAAGATGATGAAGGAAATCTTATCACTGAGGATGAGGAACAAAGGAAACGATGAATTGAGCAATTCGAAAAGCTCCTGAATCAACCACCACCTGCAGCCCAGCAACAGAACTACCAGTGAACACAAACCCTTTAATGAAAGTGGAAGTTGTGAACGCCATAAAGTAGCTTAAATGCTGGAAAGCAACAGGACCAGATGGAATCCGTCCAGAAGCACTGAGAAGAGACTCAGGGATAACAGCAGACATGCTCACACCACTATTGCAGAAGGTCTGGAAGGAGGGGACGGTACCTGGTGATTGGAAGAAGGGTTACGTTGTCAAACTCCGGAAGAAGGGATACCTCAGTGTTTGCAAGAAGTGGCTCGGAATTATGCTTGTGTCCACCCAAAGCAAGCAAAATATTAATCCGCATCATCCTGGAGAGACTAAAGGATGCAGTGGATTGGAAACTACGACGGGAACAGGCTGGCTGGATTCAGGAAGTACAAATTATGTGCTGATCAAATTGCAACGCTACGCATCATTATAGAACAGAGCATAGAACGGCGGTCAACTGTTTACCTCAACTTCATCGATTTTGAAATAGTCTTCGATAGCGTCGAACGAGAAGTAATTCAGCAGGCAGTTACTTCAACACTATGGTTTTCGTGCTACAAACCTTTATCAGCCTAATTTAACAGCAGCTCTGTGCTGTATGATGAGGTTACATGTCAAGTGATTCAAAATCGAAAGCTCAGTGATGTCTTTTAAGTAAATTGAAGACAGGAAGGAGTATGACAAGGTTGCCGCCTACTATCACCAACGATCTTTCTGACTGTGGTCGACTGAACTGGAATGGACTTGATGATTCAAGAAACTGTGAGGAGGTGTGAGAAGATGGGCATACGCTGGCTGGCTCGGTCATGCAGTGGATAACGATCTGGAGTTTGAAGCGATCGGCCAAGAGTTTAAATCCTGGTGTGTCATGTTCATCCAGCTGACGAGTTCCAATTAGGACGAAATGCGAATCATGGATTCCACTGTTAGCCATTATCCTACATTACTAGATATGAACTCTGTCTTAAAGTTGTGGAGTTAGCTACCTGATATGAATATGGACAATTAATTGTGACCAAAACGTTATCCAGTAAATGATACTATTCCTTCACTGTGTGTGTGTGACATTTTTAATAAACAGACTAAAATGGAATTACAATCTACCACATTGTATAAGTTTTACTCCTGTATTGATGAAAAATACTTATCTAATAAATTAAGAAGTAGTATTCATCATGGACTGACATTAGTTGAGGAACCATTGAAAATCTGGGAGCACTGGACAGCTGTTTCGTCCAACTAGTATGCGACTCCTCAGCAGTACGCACCCACGGCCTGGCTAGGGATCGAACTGTGGGGTCAACCAGTCGGAAGTGAAGTGGATGCTAACTGAAGACCTTGAATGATAGTTGCACTATGTCGTGAATTGACAAAAGTTGGAAATTGTGAACCACTGGAAACCGACCCAATGGATGTATGGTTAACGCGTTCGCCGTGAAACCTGGAGGTTTTGAGTTCTATCCCTAGCCAGGTCGTGGATGTGTACTGCTGAGGAGTCCCATACTAGTTGGACGAAACAGCTGTCCAGTGCTCCCAGATTTTCAATGGTTCCCCAACTAATGTCAGTCCATGATGAATACTACTTCTAAATTAAAAAAAATCCCCATTCATCTCAAAAATACATTATCTGATAAATGTTGGCTTACGTTTAAGGGAACAGTTACACTAGAATATATTCCTTCATAATTGAAGATTATCCACTTCACAGATAAATAAAAGTCTTTTGATGCAATTCTTTCAGTCAGCACGAGAAATCCCAACTGTCATTTGTTCTAGTTTTCTATACATTAATTTACTGTCTATCATCTCCTTAAAAAGGATTAAGAAAGGAGAAAAAAACTTTATTCAATCAATATGCTCACTTTAACCATATTTAATAGTTGTGTACTCATTCAGGTTGTAAAATATGACCGATTAAATTGACGATTTTAAAACCAACATTCGCTTTATGAAGTATAAACGGTGATAAAATGTTCATGAATAAATAAATCATCACACTTGAACATTCAACTAACTGGTGTATTACTTTGTTGACTGCGCTACAAGATGCAACACAAGGTCATAGATTTTACTTAAATCATTGAAACTATTTTTGTTTACTAAATGAATAAGTTAGGCGTAACTTTTTATGACTGATTGATTATTGAATAAATCTTGGTTACTAGTATATTCCAAGAAAAATTAGATTGATTGTTCGTGTATCCATTTTTCTCATTGTTCAGTGAATCATTTAATATTTTGATGATTTGAATGGTTAGCTATCCAATTTTTACTTTGTTTTATCTACATGAATTTATTTGGATTACTTAGCAGTTAAAATTGCATGATATGCGTTGCTTAGTTATTTCTCTTTTGACTTATTCAAACAAAATATAAGGTGTATTTTAAACACATTCAAATATTCATGTTACAGTAAAAAAACAAACAGACTAAGGCTTGAATATATGGATTTGGCTTTAATTAAAGTTATGAGAAGACAGAAGTGATGAATATACCCAAATAACAACAACAACATGCACTAAACACCACCAACGAGAGAAATCTAAGGGAAGTAGTCTCTTTCACCTACCTACCTAGGCAGCATGGTTTCAACTACAGGCAGCGGCCCAGGCACAGATGAGGATATGAAAACAGACAAGATTTGAAAGACAGCAAGATAGACCTTCACTAATCTGAAATCAGTGCAGAGATCTACTGAACTGTACTGCACTCAGCATAAAACGTGAAGAAGATCCAGATTTCAGCGAAGAAAATTTTCTTTTTCTACGATATCATTTTCTAAAGCTGTACAATCGTACTCATGCATATATCATAAACATATAACAGTCCATTATAAAACGATAGGGTATAATTACATCATTAACCTAGTACTACAAAAAACCCGAATCAAGAATGCAAAGTAGTTGCGTAATAATCCTTCACACAGTAGAAATGTCGAGGAAGGCAAGGAGTTTGACAAGGTGAAAATTGTTGGTAGATAAGAAACGCAAATACTGAGTGTCCACTTGATAGACAGATGGATGTAGAGAAGGTGAAGAATGAGACAAGCGTCATAATGAAGGTGATAATAACAGTAAACTAATTAATTCTAATGAAATCGAAAAAAATGAAAGTGTTAAGACCATGGTAAGATAAGAGATTGAACATACTTCTTTTGTACGCAGAGATCAGGCTTGAATTGATGAATTGCCAGTGCCTTCACTGTGCACAACTGTCGAAGGCATACTCCTTTTGAACTATTCCATGCGACACGATAAATGACATTAAAGGAGGATTCTGGTTTAGTTTTATGTACGGAGTTGATCAAATGCTCAAGAATTGACCTGTTAATTGATTTACATTCTCTCCTCGACAACCATGCAGTATAGTGCTCCAAAATATGTTTGGAAAGCGTGCGCTTTGTGCGGTGCAATTTTCACGCAACTACTTTGCATTCTTGATTCGGTTTTTTGTAGCACTTGGTTAATGATGTAATTATACCCTATTGCTTTATAATGGACTGTTATATGTTTATGATATATACATGAATACGATTGTACAGCTTTAGAAAATGATATCGTCGAAAAAGAAAATTTTCTTCGTTGGATTATCTCTTCTCTATGACTCAATGGGCATGTTTTATAGATCCAGATTTCGAACACTAAGTCAGTCAAGTAAGTGCTTCTATGTGATGGTTGAGAGACTTGACGCGTTGCGAAAACCAGTTCGAACAGACTGCAGACGTCCATGGACAGCTGCGCATTATGCTCACTCGATACTGAAGTTGAAGATCAAAAGGCCGGAAGGATAAGCAACAAGGAACTCTGGCTGGGTGGCAACGAACCTACCAAGAGCCTATCACCCATTAGATATGCAGAAGAAAGTGGAGATGGGTTGGATTGTACATACACTGAGAAGATGGTTTGGGACATCATGTGCCATGCCAGGCCGTCGAGTGGAAACCAAAAGGGAAATGATGAGTTGGGTGTCCAAGGATGACATGGAGAAGATTGTGTGAGGAAGACATGGAAGCTTGTGGGCAGTCGTGAGTAGATGTCCAAAAGACTGCAGAGGAGAGAGTGAAATGGCGACGTGCTACTGAAACCCTATGTTCCACTAAGAATGCAAGGGACAAATAATCATAATAATAAAGTTGTGATTAAGCTATATGCTGCTTTATGCAGACTTTGACATGTACTTTATGAAGTGAACGTTAATGAAGCTCGAAAGTGTGGTGATTTAATGTCTATGAAAAAACTTCAAATCTCAGGGGATGCCAAACAATTAGCATCTTTATACTGAGTTATAAATCTTTTCTACTTTCACAATAATTCGATTTGTAAACACCTGACCAACTTATCTCTGGGTATCTGGATATCTAATTTATCTCATAAATTAACTATTCAATTATAATTTTCTTAACATTCATCTAAGATTATTTATGGCTGTCGAAAAGATTTACTAATAGAAGTTGTTTTTTTCAATCAGATGCATGAATTTCGTCAAAATGAAATGAACACGATGAAATTAAAAATGGAGGAAGAGTTTCAAAAACGCTTAGATGAACATGTAAAACGTGTAAGTTACACATACTGTATTTTATAATGGCTCAGAAAAAATATGAGTAAATATGTTAGACACAGAGACAGACAGACAGACAGACAGACAGACAGACAGACAGACAGACAGACAGACAGACAGACAGACAGACAGACAGACAGACAGACAGACAGACAGACAGACAGACAGACAGACACAGACAGACAGACAGACAGACAGACAGACAGATAGGTAGGTAGGTAGGTAGGCAGACAGATAGGTAGGCAGACAGACAGACAAAATCATCGTAGGACCTCGCACACAAGTGATGCATCGGTTCAAGTTACCACAATTCACTACACTATGCAGGCAACAAGTGGATAGTATAGAGTGATGTCAAGACAAAACAAAGTTATATGAGGAAATAAACAATTTGAAAATAAAGGTTAGTACAAATATTCAAGCTTTAGAAGATATGAGAGAGTGAATACATCTGCTCCATTGTCACCGATTTTCAGTCATTAACCACTGATTCCTATCTTTTCGGAGACCGTATCCAGGTAGTTTACATCTCCCAACACGACTCAGGTCAACAGTCAAAAACTTCATGAACTGGTGCCACATTTCAGTCTGGTCACGCTAACCACCTCTTTCAATCTAATCTAACTTCTTGTAGCACGGTACATCGAAGTAGGCTATGGTTCGGCATGCGCAGTGTATATCCAAGTCATCTCACTCGCTGATAGTTCACAACTTGATAAATCGACTTGTCTGTTTTGGCTAGTACCCTTCCCCTGACCTCAACATTACTCACAGAGGGATTCCAACAAACGCGAGCCATGCTATAAGGATGCCTATGATCGAAACCCTATGACCACTTTATATCTTGTCCTTTTAACGACCATATCTCACAGTCGTAGAACAAGACAGAACGAACTGCTGTGCAGTATACTCGTCCTTTGATAGGTAGTTAGATATCTTGCCATTCGGCAAGACAAACAAAACCAGTAGCCAAATACCAAAGAGGCCTTGTGTATTCAGGCTGACCTTTCGTCACTAACCAGCCCGTTCATTCTATGTAAGTGAAATGGTCAACAGATTCCACCACTCCTATTGAAACATACGGTCAAAGCAAATAATAAATAGATGGTTGGAAGTTGGTCAAAGAAAAGTTGAGATAAACAAGAATCTATGTAAAACAGCGAACCGACTTCATTCTAATCATATATATCACTCACAACACAAGGGATGTTTCCTTGGTTATTTAGTATTCTTAATTGACCATATCAATGTTTCAAATTATATATAACTACCTACATTTGTATCTTGAATGCACAGGTTAGCTTAAAACCAGTTTTTGAATAGGTCGTAGTACTGGGTAATGGTTAACAGTTTCTAGAGTCTGGTGTTTTGTAACACATAGTTATGGTCGTTGCTTTCAAGAAATTTATACATGAGTCTACAATACGATCAAGCATGCTCAAAAGTTGGATAACTACTTTGTTGTATTTATCATTGAATTGAAGACAGGAGTAAAACAAGGCTATCTACTATCACACGTGATCTTCCTCATTGTGGTCGACTGGATCATGCAGCAAAAAGTGGGGCGCGAGAAGAGAGGGATACTCTGGACCAATGAAGAAATCGTAGAAGATTTGGATTTCACCGATGACTTGTGTATAATGTGTTATCGCAGAAGCTTGAAGATCTACAGGCAAAAACTAACAAGTTGACAGAACAGACAGGACAGAAGAGGCAGGCGGGGCTGCGAAAACGGCACTTCCTTCAGGTGAACGTAGAGAAGACAGAAGTGATGAGGATACCCAACCAACGCCACCACCACCAACAACAACAAGCCTGAATCACCATCAGTGGGAGAAACTTAAAGAAAGTAGCCTCTTTCACCTATCTAGGCAGGCAGCATCGTTTCAACTACAGGCAGCGGCACAGGCACAGACGAAGATGTGAAAGTAGCCAGGATCGGAAAGACAGCAAGACAGGCCTTCATTAATCTGAACTGATCAGTGCGGAGATCTACTGCACTCAGCATAAAGCATGAACACGATTAGAATTTTCAACACCAATTCAGCCAAGTCAGTGCTGCTATATGGTTCGGAAACTTGGCTCATTACGAAAAGCATTTCCAACAAACTGCAGATATAAGTCAACAGCTGCCGCCTATGCTCGCTCAATACTGATTTGGGACATCACGCGCCAGTCCCTCGAGTGGGATCCAAATGGGTAACGGCGAGTTGGGCGTCCGAGGTGAGGGTGACATGGGGGAGCTCATATGAAGAGGAAATGAAAGCTTGTGGGGAGTCGTGGAGTCAGGTTCAAAAGATTGCAGAGGACATAGTGCAATGGAGGCGTGCTGATGAAGCCCTATGTTCCAATAGGAACCCAAGGGAATAATAATGATGATAATAATCCATAACTGACTGACTTACATCATTAGTGTTCTATTGCTTGGAAGATCATGAGTTTGCACTGCCAGTTTGAAAAGCTGTTTAGCGTTACTGGGCTTTCAGTGGTCCTCCAGCTAATATTATTTCGTGATTAATAGCTTCTTGAAGAAGATGTTCTGTTATTTTCAGGTCTTGAGTTTGACATATATAAACCATCTGATGTTAATCTTAAGAACTATCAGGTATGAATACAGAAGACAGAGTGATTCGATAAGTTAATCTGCTTACAGGAAGTCAAAAAGAGGTGAACCAGTCATCTTTCGTTCATCCAGTACCCTAGAAGTTACACTGTCTAAGCGTTACGAAGGATTTTTCAGTTGTATTTGCCTATGAAGCTTTTTCGAAAAGGAATTCTATTTAACTCTTTAAATGAGGTATATCTTCAAAAGTACAAGGAATGATTGACTTTAGGTTTTCTGGTGATATTTGTAATTCTATGTAAAGTACATGGTATACTACCTTTCAAAGTGGTACCAAGTTGATTAATAACCATTAGGTGTGTCTCCTGTGCCGTCTGTTTACAATTTAAGAACAAATAGCCAACTAATTTGAAAATGATTACAAATCTTACTCACCTCATATTTATTGCTGTTGTAGTCACAAAATCGTGTCCTTTTAAAATGTTACTATAAGAGTTTGCCTACTTATAAGTAGTAAACAAAAAATTTAAAAAAATATCAGCATGGATTCTTTATCAAAATTTAAAAATGTATTGAAAACTGAATAAATCAACATTTTTGGAATTTTAGTTAGAACAAGAATTTGAAAATCGCCTTCAATCTTTAAATGAACAAGAAAAATTACTGAAAGAAAAATATAGTCTATCACAACAGAAAGAAGAACGTGAAGCATTTATTAAACGGCAAGCTTTACAAGCTGAATTAGACGCAGTACAATTGATGAAGGCTCAATTAAACCAAGAAAGGATTCAAATAGAAAGGTTATCTAATCTTCTAATAATTACCAATATGAGTATAATTTGTTTACCAATCCACATTCATCTTCTTTTTAAATGTTTCTCATCAGAATTTTGAAATGGAACACAAATTAACGTTTAAATTGTGTTGAAAGTTTAATTTTTCATTGATATCAGTTTTCAGTGTAAACCAAACGATTTGTGTTAATCTAGTGTCATTGTTGAGAATAAATACTCAACGATGACATTGGATGATGGCTGTGCTATGTCGGATTTGAACCCAGTAGCTAGCTCAGTGGTAATATGCTGGCCACAAAACCTGAAATTTCTGAATTCGTGGGCTTATAGATGCGGACAAAATAGCTGGTTGTTCAGTGTTCCCAGGTTTCCGATGTTTCTTCAAATGATTTCAGCCAATGATAGATATTAACTTGAAAAATAACTTATTTAAGGCTTTTGTTTTAGTCCCCTTGTTCATAGGTATGAGGCCTACGTTTTAGGATTTCCGTCTGACTGCCACCAACCAGATTTTCTTCCTATCTACGATCATGCTTTTACACTAGGGGAGTTTAACAGACTCAAACAGTATTACAATGGATTCAGTCTATTCGGTGTTTGTAAGTAAGAAAGTAAAACTTTATTTAACGTTTAATTTCTCCATCTATCTTACTTGGTGGCTAATAGTGGAAACCCGAACATGTGTTTTATCCTTGATGTGCCTTCACCTAAGTCAGTGATATGGTGTTTCCACTGGGACTCGACTGTAACATAAAACCAACCTCTTGTGAGGCAATATAACATCAGTTATTATTCATTAATGCTTGTAATTTTCTGTTGAAATACTAAGAAGATCCATTTATCTGAAGATACTTCTCAAAAAATAAACCATCTCGACAGAAAACAATAGCGATAAAAATAGAGCAAGTATTGGAGAGTTATTCCAGCTTCATCAGTGATATATTCACAGCGGTGGTATATTGTAAAGTTGTAATGTCAAAAAGTCGATATAGAGTGAAATATTTCATTACTTCTGATGTCTTATAGTCAATATTTTGTTCATTCTTTCAATGTAAAATTGTGCAGAATACTGGCGAAAGTCGTTACTGCAAATGCTTAACTAGATAAGCATAAGCTTTGAAGGATCAAATGACGATCATTAACTTTTTAGCTTGTTCAACAACTACATATATTTTGAGGGAGTTGTTGGGATTTGGGGAGTGGGGACAAAGCCTGATGGTTGTGAGGACAGTTACTCACCAATGGCATTAGGTGGCGGTTGCGCTATATCGTGAACTAACAGAAGTTGGAAATATGAACCATTGGATTCTTACCCAGTGGCTCAATGGTAACCTGCTGGTCACAGAATCTGAAGGTCGCGGGTTCGATCCCTGGGGGTGAGGATCGTATATGCACACTGATGAGGAGTCCCGCACTAATCGGACGAAACAGCTGTTCAACTCTCCCAGGTTTTTAATGTTCCAACAAGTGATATCAGTCCTTGATGAATATGAATCTGTGTTATCAATAAATTTTAATACAAAGTTTACATACCAATGATAAGTTTTTATTTCAGTAATATTTTGCACAAAATTATCACCTGTTATCACGCCAACAGTTAGAATATTTTAGCAACATGCAACAAAAGTGAATCAACACAACTGTTAACCATGTGGAACATTGTATTGAACAAACAGACTAACGAACAATGAGTAAAGACTATGACTATATAATAATAATAATAATCGCTTTATTCCAAACAATATGTATGACAGTATGGAATTCTCAGCATCCACTTTCTCAAGAAACTTACTCCCAGAACAATACTTTAAGATGAAACGGTTATTGCATCTGGATCTGGATGGCCATCCGGTCCATAATGAAGAATCAACAGAAATCCAAGCGTAATTTTAGTGGTGGTGGTGGTTCATTCAGATGGTACAAAAATCTGCAACTCACTCTGTTTTGTTACTGACTCGAGAAATGCAGAATTGAAAACAGTTTAAAAAATGTGCAAGAGTATATAATACGTTCAAAGGATATATTTAAGTGATTAAAACAAATTTAAAAGGAAGAATTTGATGTAAAATGTTCAATGGATAAATTTAGTAGCACAAGGTTCAAGGCAGGGATCACGAAATTGATTTGGATGTAACCAGGGTTAATATCAAAAGAGAGATGGACAACGAAAGCCCTATATATATATATGAGCGAGAAGAGGGGGATACGCTGGACTGCGGAAAAGAACCTAGAAGACTTGGATTTCGCCGATGACTTGTGCCTGATGTCACATAAACTTGAAGATCTACAGGCGAAAACTAACAAGTTGACAGAAGAGACAGTGAAGACCGGACTTCAAGTGAATATAGAGAAGACAGAGGTGATGAAGATACCCAACCAACAACTCCGACAACAACAAACTCCAGTCACCATCAACGGGAGAAACTTAAAGGAAGTAACCTCCTTCACCTATCTAGGAAGCACTGTTTCAACTACAGGCGGCACAGACGAGGATGTCAAAGTCAGAATCGGAAAAGCAAGACAGGCGTTCATTAGCCTGAAACCAGCGTGAAGATCTTCTGTACTCAGCATGTGGAACAAGATCCGGATTTTCAACACCAACGTCAAGCCAATGCTTCTGTATGACTCAGAGACTTGGCGTGTCACGAAGGGGATTTCCAATAAACTACAGACATTCATCAACAACTGCCACCTACGCTCGCTACTGAAGATCAGATGGCCAGAAAGAATAAGCAACAAGGAGCTCTGGGAACGAACCAACCAAGAACCTATCACGCAACAAATATGCAGGAAGAAGTGGAGATGGATTGGGCATACACTGAGAAGGCCGACTAGGGATATCATGCGTCAGGCCAGTTGCTCGAGTGGAATCCCCATGGGAAGCGACAAGTTGGGCGTCCGAGGTGAGGGTGACATGGAGGAGATCGTGCGAGGAGTAAATGAGAGCTTCTGGGCTGTCGTGGAACCAGGTTTAAAAGATCTCAGAGAACAGAGTGCACTGAAGACGTGTTACTGAAGCCCTATGTTCCACTAGGAACCCAAGGGAGTAATAATAATAATAAAATACATTAATCCATTACACAATGTACAAATGTTTCACTGATATTTTGGAGGTTCGTGGGCATTTATTTATTGACCTGAAGTTGATATTCATCATGGACTGATACCAACTGGAGAGATATTGGAAACCTGGAAGCACTGAAGAAATGTTTCCTTCAAGTATAGGACTCTTTAGCTGTACACGATCCCTCGACGGATTGAACCTAGGATCTTTATGTCCCATGGTAAGCATGTCATCTTTGAGTCAATAAAGCTGAAATTTAATGGTTCATGATGTAGTGAGAATTCCATTCAATGTGTATTACTTTCTCTTTCAATCAAAACATTCTTATCGGTTAGTGAAAGTATATCGAATAACATGTTTTGTTATTGTGAACATAGTATTCTATATATTGTAAAGTAATTGATGAGAAACCATGAAATATTATGTATTCTGATTCTGTAACTATTCTTGTTCTTACTTTATTCAAATACTTTCAAATATTTAGGAAGGGGATTTCTGTTTTTAGTTTCTATATAAATTTCATTAAAATAAAAATTTCAATGTTAACTTGATTATTTTAGAGAGAAAATACAACTTCAAAAGGATTGGGAGAAATATGAACTTGAAAGTAAAAAACATGAAAGTCTATTACAAATTAGAGAAAAAACATTAGAAAATGAAATTCATGAACATGTTGATAGGTAAGTTGGTTGGAATTTACTTTATCTTATAATTCATTAGTATTGTAATATCATATCAATTTGATAGGTGAGGATAAAAAATCTTCATCAACTTGATATACTCTTGTACCAGAGGGAAGAAGGATCTCTATGAGACGATCAATTTATTAAAAAAAACTTACTTGGGCAGGATAGTACTTGAGTTTCTACAGCTTTTGTCCAATGAAAGCCTTAATAAGACGCTTATTCACTAGGATTCAATGTATTTGTACATTTGGTAAAATGGATGATGAGAGGAAATTTCTGATAGATAGAATCATGGAAAACTGATATCCAGTACAGTTTGTGAAATGTTGTAAAGAACAGCTAACCTTGAAGTCTATAATTTCCTCTGTCCTCAAGAAGGATATATTTCTTAAAGTACCATACAGAGGGGAAATGAGCAGTTCAAGTTCAACACCCGGAACAGAAACTGAAGGACGAAACTACAAAGAAAATCTTCACGGCAGCCATCAAAATAAAATGGGAGATATCGAGCAACATCCCTGAAAAAAACCGGTGTAGATGAGCACTGGAACTCTTCGAAAGCTATGTGGAAAGAAAGCTGCATAACTGTATTAGGAAGAAAGAAGACAAGGAATGGATCTCGATGGACACATGGAAGGTGAAAGAGCAGGGAGAGGAGGATGGTAAAGCAGAAGATAAACCAGTGCAAGGATGAACGATGAGAAGAGGAACTGAGTACAATGTATAAAACACTGGACAAAGAAGTGAAGAAGAGTGCGCGTAAAGACAAATAGCCCTTCTATGACACACTTGCAAGTGAAGCAGAACAGGCTGCAGGTAGGAGAGACAGAGACCTGACAAGATTGTATCAAATAAGCAGGTTACTATCTGGGATGGAAGAGATCAACACAGATGAGATGAATAAAAGATAATGAAGGAAATCTAATCACTGAGGATGAGGAACAAAGGAAACGATGGGTAGACCAATTGGAAAAGCTCGTGAATCAACCACCACCTGCAGCCCAGCAACAGAACTACCAGTGAACACAAACCCTCCAATGAAAGTGGAAGTTGTGAACGCCATAAAGTAGCTGAAATGCTGGAAAGCAACAGGACCAGATGGAATCCGTCCAGAAGCACTGAGAAGAGACTCAGGGATAACAGCAGACATGCTCACACCACTATTGCAGAAGGTCTGGAAGGAGAGGAAGGTACCTGGTGATTGGAAGAAGGGTTACGTTGTCAAACTGCGGAAGAAGGGAGACCTCAGTGTTTGCAAGAAGTGGCTCGGAATTATGCTGGTGTCCACCCAAAGCAAGCAAAATATTAATCTGCATCATCCTGGAGAGACTAAAGGATGCAGTGGATTGGAAACTACGACGGGAACAGGCTGGCTGGATTCAGGAAGTACCAATTATGTGCTGATAAAATTGCAATGACACACAATCACACAGTAAGGTGGGGTAGGGCAACAGTTTTGAAAACTAACTTAGTTGGGTGGAGGGAGAGACTGATAACCGAATCTTTAGGAATGTTGAAAGTTCCCATCTCTCCCGTCCCCGAATCTTTGTTTATCGAATCAACTGACATCCAACACATGCAATCGAAACGATTCTTCCCCTTTTCCAGATGTACTGAAGATTCTACTACCCTTGTCATCATAGAGAAGGAGAGAAAATTAGGAATATATAAAGTCTGTCTCGAAGTTGTGAAGTTAGTTACTTGATATGAGTATGGACAATAAATTTTGTCCGAAACGTTATCCAGTAAATGATACTGTCCCTTCACACTTATGATATTTCTAATAAACAGGCTAAAGTGGAATTGTAATCGACCACAGTGTCCAAGTTTTACTCTTATATTAAGAATATATGTGTAAATTGCTTGAAAAGCACTTCAACAGGGAAATTTTGATAAGTGCAGGGGACAGACATCTATCCTAATCTATGACAAAGCATATCATTGAAATGAATCAGCATTCAAGATATTATATCGGATCAGTTAGGGGGGCATACTGAAATTTGATGAAGCGTTAACCATTCGTAAACTTAACCCCCCCTGTTATGTGTTGTTTCATCTTGGTAAGCCTTGGCAACCAGATTATATTACCAAGACTAGTGTCATAATCTTTTCATATTCATGATATTTAACCTTTGAACTTTTCCCTTTCATTTTCATATGTAAGTTGACTTGAGACAAGTAAACGTGTGGGGATCAGATTGTTCAAAATATGTACTGCACAAATACATCACACACACACACTGTTCAGATAATCTTCGACTTCTAATAACGTTATCAAAATTTATTAAAGGAATAAATTGTTTTAAAGTTTTATAATACATAAAAGTATATATGCATATATTGATACTGGGTGATGATTGAAGGTGAAATGGAAATTTGGAGCGCAGCCGGATTCGAACTGGGCGACTGCCAAGTTTTCGGCCCTACGCTCTACCAACTGAGCTATGAGGTTCGATTGCTGGCCAGATTTTTATTTTACTTCAATTATAAGCTGGGATTTTGCTCGACTACCATGTGAATTTGCGATGCGTTACTATCTCTTGGTCGTATTGGAATGAGAAGTTCTGACTAGGCAACGAGTGTGATTACGATCAAGCGATAGTGACGCTTGTGATTGGAGTGAAATAAAAATCTGGTCAGCAGTCAGACCTCATAGGTTAGTTGGTGAACCATCGGGCGTGAAACTCGGTGGTCACTGGTTCGAATCCGAATTTCATCTTCAATTATCAGCGAGTATCATCACTATTTCTCATCGTTGATTGGACCGAATTGATCTGCTAATATTGATATGTAGACTCCCAGACAGAGATGGCTGGATATTGCTGGTAATTTTAGTTTGAGGATGGATAGCACATGAGGTGAGTGTCGTGGGTAACGCTGTAGCATTTGAAACGATGTATCATCATGGGTTCCAGTCTTGCCAGGAACAAAATTACTTACTCAGAGGCATATACAACTAGCTGACGAAACATATGTGCTGGGCTCTGGGGCTAACCACTATCCTTCGTTTATATATATCTACTATCTTAGTTGGTTCGAGGCTGGTCTCCTTTGAAATTATCCCTGAACATCTTATTATACGACACCTAATTTCCAACTTCCATACTGTGGATGACCTTGCATGTTTGTTATTTCAAACAACTTTATTAAGTTCATGCATCATTTTTACGTAAATTAGTATTTCCTAAATCATTTATCTCTATTTAACTGATTCTACATTCATCGATAAACAAACGTTTACTCACAAAACTCTGCTCTCCACTTTTTCGATTATATAACCTCTTTTGACCTCTAACTATCTTAATGAATTCCGTTTGAAGTTTACATTCGAACTAAAATGAATTCGTATTATGACATGCATATTTCCTATTGTGGATTGGTTTGTACCGAATTGATTGATCTATCTTGAATATTGCGTTTAAAGTGATGTATGCAGGGTTTCAATCTTATTGGAGACTATATTACTCAATTAGGATTTAGATCAATTTGGCTGATGAGTATCAGATAGGACAAAATGCACATCATAGATTCCATTATTGGCCACTATGCATCCTCAATATCTTCAATGCAAAACGTTCCACTTTTTGCAAATTGAACACTTCAACTTGACATTTCATACAGTTGAGTAGATTTTCAATTGTCCGTTCCAGTTGGAAACAGAAGTGTTATGAACGAGCCAACTATACTACTACTGAGCGAATTGAGTAGTTAGAAACCAGTTAGACTGATGTGTACATTTCGGTAGGCAGATCACAGTCAGAAATATCAATGTGGACCAGTAAATTTGTAAATCATTTTCAAATTGATCGTTCTGTTTCACACACACCAGTCCATACAAGTCAACTAGTTAGATTCAAGTAATCTAAGCCATTCGCCTACATAACGTGGATTCACCCGGTTACACTACTGATTAGATCTACCCTAAAAAGAGCTAAACGGCTGTCCAATGTTTAGATCACTCTTATCTGCTTGACAAAATCTTTCATTACTTCTCGTTTACCATCTAGTGTTGAAGAAAATCATAACTAGCTGTTCTAAAATCTCTTGTGTACTTGTTGTTATTGACGTTCCTGTATATTGATACATGTAATCTCCCGTTGTTATACTGAGTCGAATTACTCTACCTCTGTTGATAGATGGGCTCCTATGTGAATACCTCAGTAATGGAACCTAGGATTCATGTTTCGTCCATTTTGGGAGTGACTCGTCAGCTGGATGTACCTTCATCCTAGTGAGTGATATTGTTCCCATCAAGACTCAAACATAATACCCATAGCTTTGAACGTCAAAGCGTTATCCACTAGGCCACTGAAACTTGAATGCCATTAAAGAAGTATGCATATACGACTGAAGAACCTGAGGAAGAAGTTATCGAAGGCAAAATTCTTTAATGATTTGCTTGTCTTTGGGATTAGGATATTTTTTATTACAACTTGTGTTTGTTTGCAATTGATGTCAACTGTTGAATTAGAAAGTGAATTCCATTATTGTTATTCTCACATTTTTTAACTCAGGTTTATTAGTTTACCCTGGACTGATGATATTTTCAATTGACTTTCAACCAGATTCATGAGCTAATTTAAAATGATCCATTCAGTAGTACTTACTATCTAGGTGTCTGACATTTACTTCCTTTTCGCATACATTTAAACAAAAAAAGTATATATGGAAGGGACTAGGAAAGTTTGTGTTTGATATACTGTCATCATAGTCAAGTATAACATATATTAAGCGAAGAGACTCTTTTCAACGAATTTATTTTCAAGCTGTACAATCGTATATATATGGTATTTGGAAAAAAATTATATCCTGTGAGGAAAACTAAACACTATATGGTGATGATGAGAATAATCATAGAGCGGATGATGACATAGGCATTTGTGATTATAATAACAATTGAAGTGCGAATGATAACAAATAGATTATGTAATATATATGGAATGGTACATAGAGAGTATATAACTCAGAAGGGGGTGAAAAAATTGTTGAAAATGGTAAATCAATTAAGTATTATGTAATGGCATTAGACAAATTGGACAAGATGTAGTCAATGTTTTCTAA